TACGCGACGAATGCGACGAATTTGAATCGCCCTGTACAACTTTGCGATCTCCCCAATAAGAGATGACAAGCCTGATAGAAATGCGTACGTGCATCCGTGTGTGAAAGAACGATTAAAAACAAAAAAAGAAAAAAAACAAGCGCGCGTGTACTTGTGCAAAGTGAGAACGAATGAGACTATTATGTAAAACAATGTGTGTATGTATGTGCGAGAGTGTGTAAAAGCGAGAGAGAATTTTACTTCTATTAACGGAGAACTGACCAAAATGTCGACGACAGTGCCGCGATACGCGTCGACGATCATTTATGTATGTACGTCGAAAGACAGACACACAACTCTAAAAAGTAAAAAGCCCAAACAGAAAGTGGAAGAATAAAAAAAAAAGGAAAGCGTAGAAAGATATGTCACACACGCAAAGCACTGCGATTGACACTTTGACAGCCGATTTTGGAAAGCCAACTGATTTTTGTTCGCAATACGCAGTTCTAGGAGATCGTCGCGCATAAATATATATACACAGTTGGTTAAACAAATATTAATAAAAAAAAAAACCAAAAAAAAATTGAAATAACAATTGGCAGTCAAAGTGTTAAAACACCACGGAGTGAAATCGCGGCGTGTAAATTTCAACGAGTTCAAATTTCGACGTCGTAATACCCCAAATCATAACACACGGCACAAAATCGCCGCTAAAATCTTGATTGTTTTTCGTTCTCGTCAATTACAACGTCGAAAGTTGTAGTCGGTGAAATTGGAACGATTTCACGTTCTTGGTGATCGGAGAAAAAAACGAGATAAAGGAGAAAATCCATTTCGATTCTTCTCAACGGTGAAATGTATTGTGGCCGCGTGCGTGTGCGTCCCGGCGCGTTGCGTTACGTGCGTGATTGTACACACACACGCGCATTTTTGTCCATTTCTACACATATATCTGTTCTCTCCTACGACGATAGAAGGTTATTTTTAAATTTTCGAAACTTAGAGCTGTGCCGCAAGCCCACGTACGAGTGTTTGTACGATCGGATGTCAGTAGGAATCCTGAAATATAAATAGACGATATTGAAGAGAGGACCGCACACGGACTTTTCTTTCGCGAAAACGACGACAGAGAGAAAGAGAGAGAACGGTGTCTCTCTCTCTTTACCCAACCTTTCCTGCCTTCTTATTTTTCTCACTGATAAGATTTTTACGTATTCAAACGTTTGCTCTATAATTTCCTGGTGTGTGCGTGTGAATAAAACTGTTTTTCTATGAAAAAGAAAAAAATGGAAAACAAAAATATATTTCTTGATAGATAATACAATAAACACATTTTATATATCATTTTTTAATTAAAAAAAAAAATTACATAAATTTTTGATGCGCTAATAAATCGAAAGAAAGCTGAACACGGCGACGCAACGAGAAAGAAAACTTGCCGCGGATTAAATTGCGGATTTGATTTAAACACTCGCGTGTCACGTAACTTTTTCAATCATAACGGGGAGAGAAAGCGTACACATTCATCGGGATCTTGTTTCTTCCGGTAGACGAACAAAAGACGCGACTGCTGGCTCGGAAACCACCACCCCCCTTCTTTGTCCGCCAACCCCGAAGTCTAGGCCAATAAAAACTGAGTTACAGCCAGAATCGCGATCAATACGCGCTTTTGAGAGGAGTTGAAAAAGTAACTTTATACTCCGCACGGACGTCTGCAGCCGTCAAGAATTAACGACGGTTTTATTGTCGCAGTCATTTGCGTACAGAAATGTTTTTTTTTGTTTTACTTATGTTATCTGTACATAGATAACGATAAGATGATGTTGTCCATTTGGTCATTAACAAGAATTGTGCAAGAGTCTGACTCGACTTGCAAGTACGTAACACACACGTATGTTATTCATTCATGGCTTCCGATGACGTATTTATTTTCACGTAACAAGCTCGATTGCACAACATTGTGCGATACGTAATCTTCAATAAGTTCTTTAACTCGGAAGTATATCCGGTTGCCTGTCAGTAGGCGTACTAGGATTTCACGCTGAATAAACTCACAAAAAAACAAGTAGAAATCATGAAATAAATGAACGTGTAAAGAAAGTGTTTGATTAAATTATAAAATTTTTTTTATCTGAGCATTCAGATATGCAAGTTGTCTTTTGTCTCGATTAACTGTTAAAGTGAATAAATATGTGTTTTAGTGCATGTATATGTACTGTATATCTAGTGTACGTGTGTATATACACATATGCTTCTAGATATATATACATATATATATACATATATATATATATATATATATATAAAATACAGATATAGAGATCACACAAGATCGCTTCACAATAGCGATACACAGTCATAGAGCCATAATAACGGATACCGTTAATGCCCGGAGCGCGTGTGCAATCTCCTTTCACCGTTCCCGATTATCCTCGACCGTTCCTCATCGTCTTTCTCTCGATGAGGAACAGTTATCATTTATCAATACAATGTTGCTCTGTTTTATATCAATTAACATATCGGATAAATCTCAACAGGAACGTAAAATATTTTTTTTCGCTGCAACACATGATTTGTTTCTAATATCAAATCGTGTAATTAAAATCCAAAGATTGAAAAAATTTCATTATATTTCCATGAGGCACGAAACATTAGAATGTTAATTACACACATTTAGTGTAATCGGCGCGGTATAAATATCGATATAAAAAAATGCAAAACCTGTGAAAGCATCGGTATTTCGGAGTCGCATGGCGGTGCATCAGAGAGAGAGAGAGAGAGAGAGAGAGAGAGAGAAAGAGAGAGCACGCACTCATCAAATTGGATCAGATTCCGTTCGTCGACCGCCGCAGGGAAGAACCATGTGGAACTCTCGCCGCGTCAATGTATGTGTACATCACGTATTTTGCGATTCTACATAGCGACAGGGTCGCAACATTGAACCCAGTCGTTCACGCACGAATGCATCCCTGACTGCAATGCACGCATCGTCGATCTCGCTCGCTCGCACGTGTCTCGCCGACGATGCTTCTTTCTCTTTTTCTCGAAGCTTCGAATTGCACGGACACGCACACGTGCAAACACGGCGGCGAACACGAGGGGAGGCCTTGTCGCGTATACGTACGAGGAGCTCTACGTCTGTGTGTCATTCCGTAGCCTCGAATCCAGACGCGCTCGAATGATCGAAAACCCCCATGATTCCGAAAATTGCGCATTCTTCTCGGAAAACTAACGAAAATATCGACAACTCGGAATTAAACGTTTTGCGAATTTTTATACGGGTTATCGCGCGCGCGTTCGACATTTTGCAATTACGTATTACGCCAAGTGCGGCACGTGGCAGCGCGCTAGATGGCGCTGGAGTCGACGATGACGCCTGGATTCGAGGCTGCGCTCGACCGTGTGCGCATGTTTCTTCGCAGGTCGCCTCATTGCCCGGGTCTCTTTTTCACTCTTTCTGTCGCGGCACTTCGAGGTGAGTGGTTGTTAGAGTAGTTTACGTTATTGAGTTGCTATCCGCCGTATCTCCGCTCGAGGACGTAGCATCGGACCGCAGGTACGGAATAGATCGACGCCAACGGATACGGCGTATTGTGTTGTGCGAACAGTTTTTCGATATTCGAGCGATTATTCGTGAATTTTTGTGCGTTAATCGAGGTGTCGTAGACGGGTAAAAGATGCCGCATGGCCGGTCGATTTGATCCTTGTAGTTTGCCTCGTTTGGCCTCCGTTTAGTTTATTCGAACTGTAAACTGGCATCTTCAGCCACGATTGTTCCTCGTTGTCGATAGTTTTTCATCGTAAAAATAAAATCCTGACGAAAATTAAATTCGAAATAAGCAAACGCCGGTTGCGCGAGCCGGCAACAGAGACGCCTCCGAGATCGCGGACCGGATGCATTATGGCGGCTGGAGATTGTCACAGCGCTGGAGCCTCGGTGGTTTGCGAACCCTCTCGATCGCGTCGCTGGAGGCGAATTGCTCGTCGGGTTTCGGTTTTTAAGCTCGCTTTTTTAGTTTCGCATCGAAAAAACGCGCTGTCTGCGAGGCAACGTGTTCGAGCGACAGTGCCGAGAGCCGGAAACGCGAGGTTAAAGTTCTTTCTCTCTCTCTCTCTCTCTCTTTCATTGTGGTAGTCATAGCGGAGGATTTCGTTCGGAAAACGTGTGTGCAAAGAGATCTATGTACGGAATCGTGTTCTGTATAGGTTTTTATTTTTTTTTTTTACGATAGACAAAATTGCCTTCGCGAACGCTCCCGATGAAGAAACGCCGTGCGCGAGACTGATTTTTTAATAACCTAAATGACATTTTTGCAATATATTACGATGGAAGTGCAATCTGGAGAATAGGTTTTACGCGTTTAACAAAACGGAAAAACAATTCTTAAGTCGGGAAAACAGTCGAATTTCGTGGTTGTAAAGATCGAATAAAACTGGGCGGTATCGACTCGTGTCGAGCACCGAACAAGTTCCGAGAAGCGATTTCGCACGATAATCGACGATTCGTCACTCGTGCGAGACCGAAGGGAAATCCGGTTATTCACGCAGTACCGACAAAAGTTCGTCTCGTGAGAAATGTGAAATTTTGTAACGCGAAAAATCTTGTTCTATTGGTGTGTCGGGAAAAAAAAAATTGTCTAGCGACTGCAATTAGCATCCACGGAATCTCCGTGTAATTTTCCACGCATGATCCGAGTCGCGTACCCTACGTGCGAAGGACGCAACATATTTGCCACCTGTATCATCGTGATTCTCTTGCGATTGCTCGAAATATCTGTCGCAGTTACCGCGATTTCTGTAAAAGAAAAAAAAAGGGACGCGGAAAGCGATTGATCGACTTATTCGGACGATGGGAGAGTCTCTCTCAAAAAGAATCTGCAATAACGTGGCATCGCGCGGTGTTGAGCGTCGGCGAAGATCGTGGCAACAGCGCGCCGCTCCTCTCTTCATCACTTACAAAATGGCCGCCGGTTACCATTCTCGAATATTCATGTTCGGCCACGTGGACGGCGAACAAAGGCGCTCGAACATCGAGTGCAATTCCGATCGAATGTTCAACATTGCGCAATCTCGTGCAACACGCAGCCGCGGCAATATGTTTTTGCGAAATCCGAACGAAATGGATTTTTAAAATACGATTTTGTCGAGATCGTTTTAGAGCGCAATCGATTCCTCCAGATGCCGCCGCGGATTCCATATTGCATATCGCGATGTAACACAAGTTCACAATTGTGATTTGTCGGATAGCTTCCGATATATTCACGTGTTGCACACGGATATTTAAGATTAAATTTAAAAATTGATCACAGAGCATTCCGATTTAATAATTTTGTTTCTTTTTTAGTTGCAGAAAGTGAATCGAAAATCTAGGAAAAACTAGTACAAAATGGGCAAGGAAAAGACTCATATTAACATTGTCGTCATTGGACATGTCGACTCCGGCAAGTCCACCACCACAGGTCATTTGATTTACAAATGCGGTGGAATTGACAAGAGAACAATAGAAAAATTCGAGAAGGAAGCCCAAGAGGTAATATTTAATTTTTTGTATGAAAACTGATATTTCTCACATATTTTGTGCAATTCTGTACATATAATTTTATAATGTTTGTAATGAAACTAAACAAAGTATTTAATTTGATTAATATGTTTTTAAAGAATTTTTTTTTTTCTAAAGAACAATTGAAATAATTTGTTTTTAGATGGGCAAAGGCTCTTTCAAATATGCTTGGGTTTTGGATAAACTCAAGGCTGAGCGTGAACGTGGTATCACTATTGATATCGCTCTTTGGAAGTTTGAAACCTCCAAATACTATGTTACGATCATTGACGCTCCTGGACACAGAGATTTCATCAAGAACATGATTACTGGTACTTCGCAGGCTGACTGCGCGGTATTGATTGTTGCTGCGGGCACTGGCGAGTTTGAGGCCGGTATTTCCAAAAACGGACAGACTCGCGAGCACGCTCTGTTAGCTTTTACTCTTGGAGTAAAACAACTCATCGTTGGTGTCAACAAGATGGATTCCACTGAACCCCCGTACTCCGAAACTCGATTTGAAGAAATTAAAAAAGAAGTCTCGTCATACATTAAGAAGATCGGATACAATCCGGCTGCTGTTGCGTTTGTACCCATTTCTGGCTGGCATGGAGATAATATGTTGGAAGTATCCGCCAAAATGCCCTGGTTCAAGGGATGGACTGTTGAGCGCAAAGAAGGCAAGGCTGAAGGCAAATGTCTCATTGAAGCCCTCGACGCTATTCTGCCACCTACCAGGCCAACTGATAAGGCCTTGCGTCTTCCGCTTCAGGTAACATTGTTATCTATTCTCGAGCTTTGCATACTGATATCTATGTTATCGTGATCCTTTCAATATTTACGTGATGATAATTTTCTTTCTTCATTCGTGGTTTCCACCTGAGAATCTTTGATTCGTTGACGGTTAAGAATGTCTGATCCCATCAGATATTAAATAAATTTATTAAATCTTTCTGAATTGATGTAATGATTTGGTTTTTTTGCGTGATTTCAGGATGTTTACAAGATTGGTGGTATCGGAACGGTTCCTGTTGGTAGGGTGGAAACTGGTGTGTTGAAACCTGGTATGGTCGTCACATTCGCACCTGCCGGTCTGACAACTGAAGTAAAATCAGTTGAAATGCACCACGAAGCCCTTCAGGAGGCCGTGCCCGGTGATAACGTAGGTTTCAACGTTAAGAACGTGTCTGTTAAAGAATTACGTCGTGGATATGTAGCCGGAGATTCGAAAAACAACCCGCCTAAGGGCGCCGCTGACTTTACCGCACAGGTATGCTTGCACTTTGACATGTATTCTTCTTATTTTAGTTATTTGTTATTGACACTATGATGACAACTTCCATACTTCATTCGCGGTTTCCACCGGAAGAATTTATCTTATGACGGTTAAGTACGTCTGAGTGTCTTAAGTCAAAAGTTTTAAGCAAATTAATTAAAAAAAAAAAAAAAAATTTTATATAAAAGTACGAATATATATTATATATAATGGAAAATGTATAAATGACGAATAATAATTCATAGGTCATCGTTCTCAACCATCCTGGTCAAATTAGCAACGGATACACGCCGGTGCTGGATTGCCACACTGCACATATTGCCTGCAAATTTGCTGAGATCAAAGAAAAATGTGACCGTCGTACTGGCAAAACTACTGAAGAAAACCCGAAGGCTATCAAATCCGGCGACGCTGCCATCGTCACATTGGTGCCATCCAAGCCCATGTGCGTAGAAGCGTTCCAAGAGTTCCCACCTCTGGGTCGTTTCGCAGTTCGTGATATGCGTCAGACGGTAGCTGTTGGTGTCATTAAGGCTGTCAACTTCAAAGATCAGGCTGGAAAAGTCACCAAAGCCGCCGAGAAAGCCCAGAAGAAAAAATAACTATTGTAATAGTTTCCGTGTATACACCGATAGTTTCCGTGCGAATATGCCGCCGGATGGGCACTGGTGTACATCGGGCGACGTAGCCCGTTCTCTTTTCTCATGTACTTCGTGCAAGAGGAGTATCGTATTGTCACCGTTGTCAGAATATTCTCTGCAGCCACGTCCCAAGCCGCGAAGATCGATTCTTCACGCCTGCGAGATCGCGCGGTTGCCGCGCTTTCTCGACACACGAATGTTCCGTATGTCTAAATGGTTGCTGCGTCACTTCTTTCATCGTAAGGCATTTCGCAGGAAAGGAAACGTGGCTGACAGAGAGTATTATTTCCTAACGGCCGACGAACGTGTATCTTTCTTTCGCGTGAATCGCATGCGGAGAAAGAGAACGGACTTCGTACGAGCTAACTAATATAACATCTACTTTATAACGAACAGACATTAACATCGTAATTTAGTGCGACTTAAATACATTTTCTTCTTATACGGATATAAAATTTGTATTTCGAATATACGAAATATTTATTTTCGTATAATTAGGAAATATAATTAAGCCTTGCTGTTCTTCATGTATCGCTCTCACATCTATCGTAGTTATACACGATCTGACCAGAAATAAAGTAATAATAATATATCGCGGCGATGCTCCATATCCTTTGTCTTCTTGGTAGCTTTTTATATTAATCGTTCAGATTATTATATTCATTCAGAAAATTAGAGTAGAGAAGACAACGGTGGTAGGCCTTGACACACACACGCAAAAGTAGATTTTGTTGTTGGGATGTGGGACCTGTTTTCTCTAATACTTTACCGTTCTATAATGCGATTGAAGAGCTTATTTTTCAGAATACACTTCTGAATTCGTATATTTGAGAACAAAGTCTACGAAGCTGTCCACGAGTTTCTATAAAAATAAACATTTTTTCGCTAATTTATATATATAGTTTGGAGACGAGAGCTTTTCAATTAGATAAGACAAGTCCAAAAACCTTGAGAACACCTTTTTCTACGAGATAAATTCTTTTTATCAATTAACGTTTCCGAACAAACGCAGTGCATGCACACAAAAAAAAGTGACTTGCAATTCGACTTGGCATTTTTTATCCCGCGATTCTACTAACTGGGTTGAGATATTGACAGTTTTCTGTACATACATATATAAATATTCAACGATGAGGAGTAAGAGCGAAAATAAAGAAGCTACGGAAACGAAATGCCAGTAATCTATTATTGATAATACACGCAATCCTTGATTTTCCTTTTTTTTCCCAGATGCGCGCGTGCGCGCGCTAGGTGTTTTAATAAAAATTACTGTATCATTCGATCAATAAACGCAATGATAAATATAAATATCGCAGTTTGTATTACACAAATAAGTGAAATTGTGGATACAGTGTGAATTGATTCGCGTCAGATAAAGCAATTGTCAGTATGTTGAAAAGCGAATATAGCACGGACTCAAACCAAAGTAGTTTTTATTACATTCGTCAAAGCAATGACACACGGAAAGCGGAAATTAACAGCGTCTCCGTCGTCTAAGTGATAGAGAAGACAAGCAGATTTGCTAGTAGGAGCGACATTCGAAGTCCGATGATTTAAGTTCGTGTTGAAAGATCGAACCGATCGTCTTATTGGCTACAAATCCATTTGAAGATTGACTTGAGACAAATCTTAAAAATAAAACCCGACTATGAATATTTTCCTATATTTCTATCTAATTAAATTATAAAAAAAACTTTATAAGTTTTATTATTCAATATATGAATACTGTGAATACGGAGGGCGATTATCCGAAATGAAAAGGTAAAAAAACAACAATTGATCGGTTTAAAATATATTTACTTGTCGATATACTCGCCTCCTACCTTGACACACTTTGACCAGCGCTTCTCGAGAGCGCTTATACCGCTTTGGTAGAACGAATTTTTGAGTTCTTCGAAATAGCCATTTACGGCGTCGATAATTTCATTGTTGCTCGAAAATGTCTTTCCACCGAGCCATTTTTCCAAATTTGGAAATAAATGAAAATTGCACGGGGCCAAGTCTGGCGAGTAAGGCGGATGAGGCAACAATTCCAAGTTCAACTCGTAAATTTTAGCCATTGCGACAGTTGAAGTGTGAACTGATGTGTTATCTTGGTGAAAAAGCACTGTTTCCTTGACCAAATGCGGTCGTTTTGTTTTGATTTCGTCGCTTAAACGTTGTAACAAGTCCGCATAATACTCGCCGGTGATGGTTTTTTCTTTTTCAAGATAGTCAACGAAAATTACTCCACGCGCGTCCCAAAACACAGTCGCCATCAGCTTGTCAGGTGATGGAATAATCTTTGCCTTTTTCGGTGGCGGTTGGCCGGTTTCCGTCCACTGTTTCGAATGTTCTTTGGTTTTGGGTGTATAATAGTGAATCCAAGTTTCATCGACCGTTATAAATCGGCGCAAAAAGTCTTTTAAATTACGCTTGAAACGTTGCAAACACTCGGTTGAAATATCTATTCGACTTTGTTTTTGGTCCAGTGTGAGCGACCGCGGCACCCATTGCGCGCACAGGTTCTTCATACCCAAATGTTCGTGTAAGATATTGTACACACGTTCAGATGAGATGTCCACTATCTCTGCTATATCATGCAAGTTCAATCGGCAATCATCTATAACGATTTTATGGATTTTTTGGATCATTGCTGGAGTTGTCACCTCATTTTGTTCACTGTAGTGTGCGTCTTCGCAGTTCGTTTGACTACGTTTGAGATCAGTAACCCACGTGTGCATCGTACTTATCGAAGGAGAAGAATCTCCAAGTACCGCATCCAACTTGGCTTTGATCTGCGTAGCCGATTTTCCTTTCAAAACATAGAATTTAATGACGGCACGAATCTCATTTCTTTCCATATTTACATAAGTCACTTGAGACCGTCTACTTTAAGAAGCTGTCACACAAACACTACGATAAGAAGCCAGCGTTTGACATTTGTCCCTTCGAAGGATGACACTTGTCAACGACACCAGCAATGTGATACTACTGTCGCTATCTGTGCGTCGTTTCGGGTACTTATCAATCGCCCTTCGTATACTAATCTAAACAGATATATATGTTTATATTTATACACGTATATACATATATATCGAATAAGATAAATTATAATCCAGGTATTAATTGCATGATTCTATGTATGACTCACTCTTATTTATTTCTCTAATTAAACTAATTTTTATAAGTCTTTTCTATAATATAATTCCCTTATTTACTCAGGCTCTTGCTCCAAAAAGTTTTATTACATGCCAATAGATATACGATAAAAAATTTCAATTTATCATAAACAAAGGGTAATGCTAATGCATTGATTAGGATATACACATGGAATGATATATATGTGTATATGTTACCTCCCTCCTCAAAAAAAAAAGCATCAAAGAACTCTAAAAAACATTCTCTTCAGAAAATCTTTTTATGGAAGAACATCATATATTTGTATAACAGTAAACTTTATATTTAAAATTGGTATTCTCGAATACCTACAAAGAGAAAGTGACTGTGTGTTCTGATGTTAAAGTTGCGTTACACACCTATGAAATATGTGACATGTTTTTCATATATTGATATAAATTATCAAAATAATGATACACAATCTATTTTTATAGAAACATGGTTAATATTTAAACACTTAATACAAACTAAAAAAAAAACAATCCTATATGTGAGAGTAATGTTAATCATAGTAAACAATATTTCCAAGTTTATAGATCTTCTTTCTGCATTTTTATAATCGTGTTGTAACACTATTATAAAATACTATAATCTCCCGTTGTCTCTTCCGCTAGTCTAATATCATACATTCTATCAAATCACTCCAGTCTTTATATCTATTCGACGTATATTCGAAAATTACGATTACAACCAGAAACCATTACGATAGTTTATCACGCTACCAATTATTTTTCGATCTGATAAAAAAGATTAATTATTAGAATACAGCATCACATAGAATATACATAAGTGCATTTTGATGTCCTGCAACATTGTTTTTTTTCTTATACACTTTGTTGCTACGTAACGCTAACACAATTATTCGATAAAATTTATTGCAGGAGAAATGACTAATGAATGATTTAAAACGCTATATAATTCCCATCACAAGAATATCAAATCGCGTTGAGTGGCATCTCTAATTTTACGATGGAGGGCATTGTATTCGTCCAACGTCGCCACCTTCCGATTGACTGTCACTGTTGTCAGACGAATTCTCATTGGAGGAGTCGTCATCATGATAATCTTCGTCTTCGTCGCCATCCTCATCTTGATTCAGTTCTTCGAGACCATAACGTGAGTAAAAATTCTAGAAGAGAATTGATGACGATAATGAGAGAGCGTAAGAGAGTAAGTTTGTGTACAACTGCATTTTTACAATTTTCATTTCTAGTAAGAAAACATTAATGACACACACGCGCGCGCGCGCACACACACACACAAATAAAAATATAGTTTACTTACTCGTACTCTTTCTCTATGACGAATATGTCGCAGTAAAATCCAGAACAATTGACCATCAGAGCAATCATATACTTGCGCATATTCTTGCTTCCTGTTTCTTACGTTAGATTTGACGCACTTCAAGAAAAATATATTTATTAATGTGCGTGCAAGTACTAGCATTAGTAGTAAAGTAAGAAAACTACATAAATATTACACATATAACGAGAATATATATATAAAACCACACAATTAAAACAAAGAACAAAATATTACACATGAAGTAGAGTGAAAAATACAATCTTGTACCGCTAATGCGACAATCAGTCAATTCCGATAGAAAGAAAAGAGATTCTCCCTCTTTCGCGAAATTGATTTATTGCCAAGTAAGTATACGTACGTTTGCAAATGACTTCATCGTTGGAGGTTCCGCACATGACGGTATCCATATTTTAACATCATAATCTAATCCACTTGTAGCCAAGATGGGAATGTGTGGGTGTCCTTCCAAACAATTTACCTAAAAAAGATATTGTTATAGTTTTTTCTATTTTGTTTTTAAACTTTACAAAAGAAAACTTTTGTGTTTGTTCTGATTATAAAAAATCTAAGACTTACAACTCCTTGTTTATCTCCTGCCATCCATTGCACAACAGCTTCTGTATTTTTGTCCCAAATAAATATATTACCACAATCGGATCCAGAGATAACATATTCGCTTTTGGGTCCAAAGAAATTAACACCCTTTACTGCAATCAAAAAAGACAATAACGTCATGTTTAATACCACCAAATCTCTTGCAGTTATTTAGCAAGTTTGATTTATTGAGTTAGTTTCTCAAAAAGTTTCAAGAAATCTTCAGAAATTGTATAAATTTACAGAAAGATAGAAATTGTAACAAGACCAAAGCATGAAATTTAAAGTCAAAGAAGTACAGATATGACATACCAGTTGCGCTATTTCTATGGCCTTCGTATCTGTGAGCATAATTTACAGGTGTTGTAGACAGTCTATCAAATAGATATATATCTTCGTCATTATACGATGCGAGAATTTCAGTCCCGTTGTAATTATATACAGCGCATGTTACATGAGCATGTTTGTTTCCCTTCTATAAAATCAGCAATAATATAAATTTTAATTGCACAATACACATAGAAAAGTGTAAACTCAAATTACTCTTTAATTATGTGTTCTGTTACAAAAACTTTTATTGTGACAATAAGTGAGTTGTATATTTCAACGTACCAGATGATCGGGATATAATTTGTGAAGCGGCGTCGAAACTTTTCGCCGGTCGTACACTCTCACGTGATGGCAACGGCCGCCGACGCAAAATTCATGACTATTAAAGGGATTCGAATGTATACTGTATAATTGCACTTCTGATGAGCCCTCTTTTACTACTAACAACCTGTAAATAAACAAAACATTTATTTAATATAATATTTTTATATAAAATGTAAAAAAAGAAACATATAAAATGTGCATATTTTAATTTTCAATCTTAAAATGTTTTACTCTTTTTTTTAACCTCCTAATATTTAACAATTTGAACAAGACCAAAATTACCTATTAGTCTCGACCGAGAGCTTATTCAATACAACGGCAAAAAGCAACAGCTAAGCTCACGGTCGACAACTAATAGTGGACCAAACTCACATTCATGCGACAGCGGTTCGCAAAATGTTAAAAAATAAAATACTATAAATAAATTATAATACTATAAATAATACTATAAATATAATACTATAAATAAATATATAAAATAACATGTTTTTAGAAAGAAAAAAGTATAATCAAGAATAAATTTCATTTCTTAGTGTTTTTATGTGATCTTTTTGAACGAAACAAAAAATAGTATTACAAGAAGAGGAATAAACCATAAATGTAAACCAAAAATAATAATATATTTAACTCACTTGTTTGGCTTGCTCTCTCGAATATCTATGGAGAATACTCTTGCATCTTCCCCAGCAGAGAGGACTACATGAGGTGTTTCATGATGCACAGCCAATTTATGCGACGGTCCACGATGTGCCGCCAGTTTCTTCGAAGTGTTATGTTTGATATCTAATAAACGTACTTGACCATCTCGAGCACAAGTCACCATGAGATACTCTACATCTAACGGCAACCATTTAGCCTAAATGCACATGATTAAGTAAAATCAACTTGATAAGAAAGATGGAAAAAACACGTACGATAAAAAAAATTCACAATTCAGGAAGAAACGACCATCTCTAAAAGTAGTTATTGTTTCGTTTAACACAGTATAAAAATACGTACTTGAAACATATTACTTGTATGTCCACTCATAAACCAATGTTGCTTCTTTCCTCTTGCCCAGTCCCAAATAACAACTGTTAAGTCATCAGAGGCACTCGCTAGTAAATTTCCTTTTTGATTGAAATTCAAGGCATTTACGCAACCCTAAAATTAACAACCAAGTGTCAACATATGTGATGCAATTCATTATTGAGCCCAATGTGCACAAATGTAAGTAAAATGAAACAAAGAGTATACCTGATGTTCATTAAGATGATACATAAGTTTGAGACGTTCTACTGCATGTAAAGATCCGTAAAATCTTCGATGAAACAATGGATTGCTACCTATTTGGCGATTTAAAACTTCTGGCACTATGCACCAATTAGGATGCGGTTTCTTTATTTTTAGGCAATTTGGTACTTCATCAGCTAAATCATCGTTCTCCTCTTCTTCTTCATCCCAGTCCTCGTCGTTAGCTGTTCCCCAATCAATTGAATCGTCTGTCAAAATGCACGATTCTATATCTTACTACTAATATGATAAAGATATTCATGTTTTAAATACCTCTCTCATCTTTGTATCGATCAGAACCATCGTTAGATGTTTCAGATTCTTCTCTGCGAGCTCTTGTAGTTTCGTCTAATGGTTCATTAGCGGATTCATTTCTGGTACTGCAAGATGCAACATTTCCTGAAGAAAAAATTAACTTATATTTATATATGATATAGATATATATAAATAATAAATAAATAAATTACCTTCATCTGTGTCAAGTATGGAAGCTTCTCTTGCTGTCTCATTATACAACACATTCCAAGAACTATCTTCATTATCACTTGTAATGTTTCGCCTCTTACGATAATTTCGTTGTTTTACTTTTGATTTGGTTTTTTGAAATGTTACTGTGTCATCACTCATGCTTCCACCACTGTCATTTAAACTCTTGTTCAATTTCTGACGTTTACTTGAATCTTCATCTGAACTGTCATCTGATCTTTCAGTCGATCCACTTTTATCTGAATGAACTTGATCTTTTGATATACTTCGTTTAGTTTTATTCTGATCTGTATGACATGATGCATTTGATTCACTAGCATTAGAAGATGAACTACTATGTGAAGTAGTTGCTTCTGATGTATTAACTGAATTAGCAAGAGCACAGAAAAGTCCTTTTGACGTTTCTTCAGTCTTGTCACACTTATCAATCACCATTTCAATGTCGTCTTCTGTAGAAAGTTCCATAGGCTCTTGAACCTGTGTACTTTGTACAGTTTTGCAAGTGTGATTACAATCAAATTCTATTGTATGACTAGGATCTTTTAAGATGACAGAATTGTTGGCATTTTCTGAGATACTTGCAGTTTGCAAGGTACTTGATTGAATCTGTTTAGACTCTTCATCTTCACTTCTGGTAGGAAGTATCACTTCAGAAATATCACTAATATCTTGCGTTTTATCTTTAGAATCCATAATTTTAATATATATCTATAGTATCAAATAAAGTTTTATCTTTACTTTTCTACAATATTGGAAATCATTTCTTAAAAAAGGTGCAATCTGCACTATTAACCATAATGTATTCTTTAATCCTTATCTGTAAAATATATAAAGGAGAAACATAATAAATACGTAGCATAAAAAATAAAAGAACTTGTACTATGTATCACAATCTTACTAAACCTATTTTATAAATAAATATTACACACACACACACACACACACACAACATAGCATATGTATATATAGCCTAAAATAAAATACTTAAAAATAGTAATAACTTCAAAAACACTTCTTTAAGAAAAGAGAGAGAAAATACTTTTTATCATAAAATTTGCAATAAAGCTTACAAAATATTTATCAATCTAAAATCAAAATACAGCCACATACTAACTGTATGATATAACTTTGTTGCCTAAATAACTACATGTTGCAAAAAGTATATTATAACATTTGTTTGAAAGTATGCACTATTTGCAGTATGTATACAGCTGTTGATTTAATTTTATTACGACTGTCGTTCGTGTGCAATACAAACCTGTTATCAGCAAAAACTAAAAAGTACCATACGCGTAAGATCTATCGCAAATGTTGATTGCATAGAGGTAAGATTCGTAACAACAAGCGCGATTTAATTAATATCTGCGTTAATTAAAACGACGTTACATAAAATTCGTCGTTAATTGTGACGAATTTTTTTTAAACTGAAGTTATGTACTAAAATGGCCAGCATCTACGTAACGTGTGTGCATATATACAACATCGTCTGAAATTGTCTTTTCTGTCCTCGTTAAGGAATATTTCGCGAGACGTGAGTGCTTTGCGACACGACTCACTGGCTCGCAACTCAAATCCAAAACAAAATACAGATTACGTACTTGTTCTGCGTCGAAGAATACTCACCTCGAAATTTTTACTCCACCGAAACTTGACGATGCTTGACGGCTGTATTTAGTTCAGTTCCGTTCACGTTTATGCTGTTCGTACTTGTATGTGTAAACGCAGCTTTAAATAATGACAATATATATTTACGTACACACAGAAACGCGCAACCTCAGCAACCTCTCTCTCCCTTTTGGCTGCTCTGGGCTGCTGATGGAAGAAAGATAAGAAGGGAATAAACGTGCATATACCCAGGCGTATTTAAAAATTCACTACTGAAAATCTATCGTTCACCCATATTATAGATTTTCAGTATTAGCAGTGAATTTTTTAACTGCGTCCCGATATTCACTGCCGTTTTATTAAAAAATCTATAGCTCAAGTCACGTATGTTATGTATTTACTAGTAGCGAAGTTTGGAACACAGCCACAAACTCTTGAGATATTATCCCATGACACGTATTTTTCACGTAACCAATCACATCTTTCTATTCTTCTAGATCTTCAAATAGAAACATCAAACGTTACCGTTAATTGGTTACGCGTTGCGCGTAAAAACAGATGTCGTAAGATCGGTTAACTTTAAAACAGTCTTGAGATTGAATATTTTTCGAAAAAACGAGTTTATAGATTTTTTTTCTATTATTTGTAGATAATCTACGTAGTTTGTTCGACTTTTTTTTGAAAGAAAGTTTTTTTGTGTATCCCCGGCTTAACGCACTAAAAACGATGCAGTAGCTATTCATTTTGCTGCTTTTCTTTAGGAACAGATTGCTGATTGGTTATCACATTGTTTCCCGTCACGCGTAATGGTCCTTGCACACTAGACACGATGAGAGATGAACACCATCCAATCAGAGCTCAACTTTTCTCAAATTTTTCTATGCTCACAATGCTTCGTTGTGTAGTGGAAATTAACAGCGCCTCCGATGCCTAAATGACAAAAAAGTAAAACACAAAAGTGAGACAGATACAATACACAATGAAGAAAGAGACGGAATGAGTCACGTGTTGCTGTGCCACTTGCGCTAGATTATCATAATATCCATTTAACATTAACACACTTATAGCGTTTTCGACCCAATACGTATTGAATCGCTTCCGAAGCGATTAACGACCGTCACTTCATTAAATCAAGCAATAGGATTGGTCGATTTGCCAAATTCACGTCGTCAATCGCTCCAAGAGCAATTAAATCCGACCGGTCGCGAAAATGCTATTAAATACAAAAATAATTTTATAAAATATGTCACATAGTTTCTGCTTCTATATTCCCATTGCACAAGTAAAAATTAACTTTCATTAAATTATTAATAAGAAGCAAAATATATGCAGAATATCAAACTTTTATATATTTTATTACAGAATATACGCAATGAACAGACATAGCATGTACGTAATATTAAATCAAATATAAAAAATTACCAATTAACTTAACTATAATGATTATATTATAGTTAATTATAATGTGTGATTCTACGTGTGTATAACTCATTTTAAATAAACTAAAATAATTTATGAACAGAGAAGATCAGAGTTTTCGCCTGTGACAAAGTGAAATATTATTTATCGTATTATCTATCATGAAATTTGTTTATCAGATATATCTAATAACAAAATAAGATTAATATTTTTTTTAACCAAGAGCTCTAATTGTGCAAAAGTAGAAAATTATATATTAAATTAGAATTAAATTAATAAAATTATAATAAAATTAAATAAAGAAGGTGAGTCATAAGTTTTTATGTAATTTTGTATTTTATTGGATATATTTGATCTGCTTAATAAAATATTGAAGTTTAAACCGGCAGTAGCATATTATCCAAAATGTAACACGCTGAGGTAACCCGATCGATTTTCACATCTTTTTTTGTGTAACTTTGAGAACTTGTAATCTATAGGAAGTTCTAATCGAAAAAGAACAATCACTCTTTTATATAATTGCTTAATTGTTTCATTTTCGAGATTCTACCGGCATTTCTTGAAGCAGCTATCGCTGGTCGACAAGGTGGGAGACTGGTTAGTTTTTGATGATACATTCACTCATTCACAGTATATAAATACAGGACAATGACCTAATTGTGTGTAGAACTCAACGTGCGTCTTTGGTGGTCAATAACCCACGCGCACAATTTATATTATTATTTTTTTATATACATATCTATAGGTAATAAATTTAAAACTATACATCAAATCGATTTTTGCTCTACTGATCTATACGTAGAGAAAAAAGATTATTTTTGTTAATAACAATTGTACTGTGCAGTTTTACACGCGTTGCAGTTTTCAAGAACATAATTAATTATGAAGGTAAGACCTTGCATCTCTAACAAATTATAAAACACACACCACACGAATTAGATATCGCTTATTCAAATTGTAACACATATTTATGCTGTCATTTGTTCGATGTTTTGCTGTCAGTGTGTTTAACATATTCAAATTTAAATCTGCTCGTTTTTTGTCAGTAGATCATTATATTTGTCTTCCGAAATTTATTGCGGGTGTTTTTAACAAAATCTACATACATGTATTGTTTGTTTGATTCACACGGTGTAATACATATGATAAACTATTTTTATTAGTGCAGAACTATATAGTATCTACATGTGTATATTATGTATCTAATTTACATTGGTGATTAACTTTGTTACTTAGACTTTATATTACAACTATTTTTTTACATAATACAATGTGCCCCACAATATGTGCCATAATATGAAAACTTGGTGAAGATCTTTCTCTCTCTCTCTCTTTGTTACTGTCGAAAAAGAATTGCCAAATTTCTACTTGCTACATACATACAAAAATTTCCGTTAGTAAGATTAAAATATTAATTATATTATACATTCAATGATTTTTCAGCAGAAATAAAACGGTCTGCTATTGTTACAATTTGACAGTAGATTAATCGTCAAACGATCGAACAAATGCTGCTAACAGCAGATTGAGCATTAGAAACTGAGCAGAATCTGCTGTCTTTTCTGCCATTTAAATATTTGTTGTAACAATTAAAATAGATCAAGGTGTACTATTTAAAATGCATGTTGCAATATTTAAATAACAGAGAAGTAGCAAACTATTATTTCTTCTACCGCTGACACTTTGCTTCTTGAATAATTGAATAAAATAACTCGGCAATTAATAACTATATTATTTAAAAAATGTTTGTTATTTTAACAAATATATTCAGAGCTGCAGCGCCTATAGCGCCCGCTAATGATCTGTTCCACACTATATAGTTACGCGACGCTTTATTATTAATAACAGAAAAAGTATGTATACACACTATGTTGTTGCTCCTAGACGCGTATTTAGATATTTTCCACACAGTTTTCTTCATTTGATTATGCACTTGTGTGAACGGAGGGGGGAGGGGAAGAGCAACAATCGCACTCTGCTCGATTCCTTGTTTGAACCGGCCGCGAACGTCTCTAATTTGCCACGACATTCCGATAACAGTTTCCGCGCGTTTTCTTCTCGATCTTGTTCCTGTGAACTGGTTGCGCTTGCTTTTTCCTCATCAAAGTAGCACAGTGCCCTACTTTTGATATCCAACTACTATTTGCAGCAATTTTCTCTTTACGCGCGCGCGCGCACACACACACACACACACACACACACACACACACACACACACACACACACACACACACACACACACGCGCGCGCTCACGCTGTTCGTAACGGTTATACGGCCTCGAGAATTATACTGCAGACGTGTTGATATTATAGTACCGTAAAGACAATAGGTCCGTCGCGTGTCACTCGTCTTTCTTTCCTTTCCTCAACTTTCCGTCACGTAATATTTCACATTCTTGCTCTATCGGTTGCTTCGAGAGTAGAATAAATAACAAATTATGTACTATAGAAATGTCAATTCAAAATAAAAAACGTATAATCGATATTTTATTTATTATTTCCTCATATTCTTCCTCTCGATTTCGAACGCGTTTACTTGCGCGCTTGCTTCTTGTTGTGTTGCGTTCTCGAATTATTTCGAGAAGTAGTATAACTTACATATAGACAGAAGATAAAAAATATATTTCATTATTAGACACTCAGTTGGTTTTGCTGGCTCCTGGTTGCGTTTGTCTGCCTTTCTGAGGCAAAGAACAAGATCAAAAGGCCGTTATCTTTACCATACTCACATATCGTAATGAGACGGCCTCGACCCATCAGTCACAGAACATCCATGGGTAATACTATTTATATTGGTGGTAATCCTTCCCATCAGAGAATTCCTTATAAGCACGCCATGTACAGGTAAATGTTTCAAAATAGGCACTTTTAATCATTATATATATATATATATCTATATGTGTATATTTTCGCGTGTATATGTGTATTGTGTGTATACACACACGCACGAATGACTTTAGAATTCGTCGACCCACGATGTACAATGCTCTGTCAATCACGTGGAAGAATCAACATCCGATACGAGCACCTCTGAATAATGGTGTTAATTTACCGCAACGTGCTCCTGCCAAGGACTTTTATTCTATAAACAAGTTAGCAGAATATAATTCGGAATATAGACCGGGACTTGTAGTTTTACCGACCATTCATCGAGAAGACATCGACGATGACAAAGGACCCATTCATACAATTCCCGCGCCAAATCTGAGCCTAGCGGCGGAACCTTACGGGTCGCTAATTAATTCGGAAGAGACCGCTGATCGCCGCCTAATGGCGACCAATTACAACATTACTGCGCAAAGTAAGTTTGTTTTTAATTTTTTAATAATTAAGTGCATCACAGTGTCGTTCGCTAAATCGAACATCACGATGACTCGATTGCACAGATTCTATGACAAACAACTTTGGACTAGCCACGCGTGGTGAGAATTTGTTGTCGCAAGGAACGAGCCATCCGACTCTGTCGCAACATCAGTACGAAGTTACCGAAAGTAATGACGTGATTCTCAGTCACAAAATTTAGATGTAACAAAGCTATATTCGTTCCTACTTAACAATCCTTATTAACAATCCGACTATTTTCTAGCGAATCAGCCTATTCAATCGAACACAGATATCATAACGCCGAATGTACCATTTGCTCACTCGAACGTGCCGCCAATACAAACACCTCTTCATAGTTTTCTGCACGTCGGATTTCCGTCCGTTCAAACACCGTACGCTATGACACAACAGGTTCCGGGGGATCTCCACGGTCATTCAACTTCGACAGGACCGTTTTCAGCACCGTTATCGGCTACGCAACTTTATGATCTATTGAACACTTCTCCACACAATGTGAACCAATATTTATCAGGTAATAACTTGTGTTTACAAGAACATGTATGCAAGCCGACATGGGAGGAAATTGCAACACATTAATGATTGTAAAATTTATTACGTACAAATATTATGACGCGTATATTTTGATGATTCATGTTTTGAAAAAATATCTAAACTAATATTATTAACAAAGAGAATCTCTTATCATTATTAGATCAGCAACACCTTCTCCAGCATCAACTTGGCCAAAGTTTTCAACCTTATTTAGACGCGGCAATCAATTTTCCCCATCCACAAATGCATTCTTTCAATTATGATGAACAGGCTAATCAGTTACAACAACAACAACAACAACAACAACAACAACAACAACAACAACAACAACAACAACAACAACAACAACAACAACAGCAGCAGCAGCAGCAGCAGCAGCAGCAACAACAACAACAACAGCAACAACAACAACAACAAAACCAAAACGTTTTATTCGATCGAAGTTATGTCCCGGAAAGTGCCATACCGGATTATAATCTTGATTCAGCGGAATCTTCGATAGACGTACAAAATGACGTACACGAAGATTTGACATATCCCATGAGTGAGATCGAGTTTGAAAACAATATTGGATATGACAAAATTCATCAAGAAAAAACTCCGGCGGCACACGTCAATGAAGCGGCTGATAAGAATGATATACCGACAAAATTCTACACAGTACTTCCTAATAAAGAAGCTGCTGAAAAATTAGCCGTACTAGCTGCTGCTGGTAACATAAATAGTTATCTTATAGATCGGCTTCGCAAACAAGAAAAGGATGTACAAAGAAATAATGAAATGCCGTTTAATCATAAGAACAATGAGGACAATGATAATGACGGTGATAGTGACAATGATGATGTTGTTGATGATGGTGATGACAACAACAACGAGAATATAAACAAGCAGATAAAGGATGATCAACAGTGGGAGTATAATTTACAAAAATCGCAACAGGAAATTCAGCAGGACTACCAAAATCAAAGCAATAAGATACAAAACAATAAACCTTTGCAAATTACAATACCTGACAAAGTCGATACTTACGTTAGAAGTAATGACACAATGCAGAATACAGAAAGCGATGTGTATATAGAATATGAATACGAAAATGAAGACGAAGAAAATAAAGATTCGCCTGGCGCCATGTTATTTGATGAACAAACGTTTTCTCACGCTAATTCCCACAAAGAATTTGGTAGTCGTCTGCGGAAACTTGTGAGATAAATGTATCTACATATGTGCAATAACATTTTTCAAGCGATTTACTTATGAGAATGAATCTATTGTTTTGCGACGTTGAGCCAATCCAAAATTGATCGAAAAGTATAGGAAACCAAAAAAGCCAATATAACATCTAACATACTACTCTTTTTTATATTTGAAGAAAATATTTATATCAATATAATTGTAATATCTACGTTCAATTAAAATTTTTTACAAAACACAATACTGCTACAAAAAAAAAATATGTTGATTCCTGTAATTTAAAGTTTCAACATGCAAATATATGTAATATTAAATTAGTTAATACACAGTCGAATTTCTCTCTATTGTTACTTTGTTAAGACTTCTCCGTATTGTGATTCACTTCGAGTCTGTAGCAATAGTTTAGCGCTACGTAGCGGGATGTTAGAGAGAAAAAAAATTATTCAAAATAAAGAAAAACTCGCGATACGTGAAAAGAGATTCGACTGTCATATTATGTAATATAATAATACGTAAAGTATTACGTAACAATAGACTGTTTAGTTTTTATTACTGTACATTCGCAAAAGCAGAAACTTTACAAAGATATTGTGATTTGTAAAATTTCAATACACATAATATTTCTTATATCAGATATCTATCGATTTTTAATGGTTGAATTTTATTTATATATAGTGGCTGATTTTCAATATTCAGTACGTATGACGTGAACTTTAGATTTTCAGTACTGTCAATGAATATCGAAACGCAGCCGGTGTAAAGAAATTAAAAAATACTACTACAAACAATCCATGAACCATGGCCTACCATTGTTTGTTAGTCGTTTTGTGAGAATGTCACAACCGGTCTCCGTTACTAAAAGCGTGTGCTCAAATTGCGCCGACCATTGACCATCCAAGGTAACAGCGGTCCAATTATCAGGCCATGTTTCATCCTTCCAAGTACCTTGAGATATCATTGGTTCGATGGTGAAACAATGCCCAGCTTTCATAATGCCCACTGCTTTGTTTTCTAAAATTAAATTTTATATACTTTTATAGAAAACTTATATTATGGTGATATAACTGAGTAAAAAAAAAAAAAAAAACTGATTTCACATGCAAACACGAGTCAAAAATATAAATAACTTAATAAAAATATTCGAAAACACAATTTTAAAGTAATTTATATAAATGAAATAATACAAAAGATAAAATAGAATATAAGAAACTTTTCAACTTATTTTGCATGTGTGATCAGTACTTTTTCAGTTTTACTACTAGTTTGGAAATCTTCTCTATTAATAATGTTATGATATGAGAGATACTTACTGGCATAGTGTGGCACATTGGGCACTGTGTGAAACAAACGATGAATTCCATGACCGCAATAACTACGAACCACACTGAAGCCATTAGCATGTGCGTGCTTTTGAATTACATTACCAATTTCTCTGTACTTTTCGCCAGGTTTCACAATATCAATAGCTTTGGACAAGCACTCGTATGTCACTTCTACTAATTTTTTTATTTCTGGCTTTACATTGCCTATCAAGAAAGTTTCATTCAAATCTCCATGAAAACCGTTATGGTATACGGTAACGTCCACTGAAAAGAATAATTAAAACACTTGGCTTACGTTTTGTAGCTGATAATACCGTTTAACATATTTGTTAACAAATACAGTACCATTACAAATATCACCATCTTGCAAAGGCCGAGTGTCAGGAATCCCGTGACAAATGACTTCATTGACAGAAGTACAACAACTGGCGGGAAATTGATAATAGTTTAATGGTGACGGATAGCAGTCCCTTTCAACGCAAGCTTCGTGCACTATTCTATCGACCTCGGCTGTTGTAACACCTACGTCACATGTTTTTGCCGCCTCATCCAATACTTCTCGACCAAGCTATGCACAAATTAATCTGAAGTTACTGTATTTATAAAAATGATCAAGACATCAAAATAATGATACTTTCATAGGTCAGAGAATTCACAATCTATGTTACTTAATAGCCACAGTACCTTGCATGCAACTCTCATTCCTTCTATCTCCTCATCATCGAGAATTTTTATTTGACCAGATCCTTTTACAGCTTGCTCGCTAAGTGGTATCCCAGCTGGATGTACGGCATAATCTGGTCGATTAATATACTCAGGAACCTCTCTGCGTAGTTCCTTTTTGTGCGGGCGTAATTTTCCAGTATAATTGTAGGATGGCCAAGGATTATAAGTGTTGGAAATTTTGTTTCCATCTTCTCCTTCTAATTGTACATACAATTGTAAAATGTGACAACAAAAATATACTTTTATAAGGCTTACACTTACTTGCTAGTTGATGAATAACTTTATGAGTTTTCCAACTTCCTTTAAAGCAATCCTATAAGATTGAAGAGTGCTATGTTAATTAACAGTATCCAAAAGCTGTCTTAAAAACAATATAATAAACTAGTATTCAACAATAAGTAAACATTTAAAATAATATCTAATATGTTACAATTAATCTTATACACAATATTTATATAAGAAAATTTATGTAAAAACTATTACAAAATGAAAAAAACTTTTACAGTTGCAAGCAAACTTTTGTTTGTTTACTTGTTATTTTGCAATATTTAATATACATTATGTAATATGTAATGGAGAAAATAAAATTCAGGAAGCAAATGACTTGTTAAATCTAAAATATAAATAAACGTATCTCACTTGACTACAGAAATATGAACCCTGGATGCCGAGTTTCAAGCAAGTTGGACATTGCAAACTTGCGACCGCATTGCAGCCGGGTGTCTCGCACATTCCAAGCGCTAACGACATTATTTATTTATATTTACTTTTTTCCTATCAAAACCGCGTATAATGGCGTGTGACACAGCTGAACTAAGCAGAATCAGGCATTAAAGTTCCTTCCTTTACCGCGATCTTCGAACTTCCTTCTTCTGAAATAGCACTTTGTTCAAGCACAGATCACACTGCGGATAGCGACCTCGATTGCTGTCGGCGATTGACCAATGATGAGTCGGCCAATCAGAACAAAAAAAAAAGGCAATTTGAAGTTTAGTGAACTTTGTTTTGATTGGTCACATTCCAACCTAATCTTAATTCTAATTTGCATGGCGGACTTAACTTATTGAGATCGAATTATTCTTTTGACGTAAAGCCTCTTGCACAATGAAAGAAATAGCAATAGCGATAGAAATAACACCAGCTTTAAAAAGTTTATATTTATTTATAAATAACGGCAGAAACAGCAGAATCTAACATGTATCAATGCAGATCAGAAAACGGAATAAACAATAGCGATAAAATATCCGACGAGTTGGAATTCTGTGTCTATTGCTTATCGCTATCACTATTCCCTCGCATTGTGCAAGGGGGTTAACTTTTCCTCTTTCCCTACTCTATGATACGAACTGCGCGACACTGTATTGACTACTGTTGACCGGCCCAATGGTCTCGCGGCCTTAGGCCTGTTCTACAATACAGTCGTAAGCTGTAAGTCGTAAGAAATCGACCAATTACAGACTAATTACAGAAGAATACTTGATTGTGATTGGTCAATTTCTTACAACTTACGGCTTACGACTGTATTGTAGAACAGGCCTAAGTGCTGCAAACCCGGAAGTCCCGAGTTCGAATCCGCTCACCACCTAAGAATTTTTCCGGGCCGGTCTCTTTCAACCGAGTTTATCGGTTGATCGGCGAACTAAATCGGACTTCCAAAAATTAATTCGGGTGTAATCCCGCATTAATTCCCCTCCCACAAAGCGATCATAGGGTGCGTTCAGATAACTCAACGGTTGAGAGATCATCACTTATGATAGGACTATTCTTCAAAATCTGATGCGGTTCCAAAAGTATGATCCAATCAGAAGTGATTATCTCTCAACCGTTGTGGAACTGTTGAGTTGTCTGAACCACGAAGTAAGAGTAAGGAGATCGAACTTCATAGCGCGCGAATGGAGAAAGTGGTCCCGATTCTGACGCCTAATTGGGAGGGAATCCGCTCAAAGGAATAGTTTCTTACGGTTGGACGCCATTTGCAAAACTACCACATGTACACGTTAGTATATGTAAATGCATCTGTCACGCTGCACACTGCGCACTGTGCAATCTCTTGTGACATATCCGCAGCAGAAAGATGAACTATAAAATGACGTAAACTTTTAAATAATTGAAGGATATATAAAGTATTTATATATTTAGGACAGTAAGTAAATATAACATAATTGATATATAAATAATACATACAACCTGAAAATTTTTATTAAATAATAACCAAAAAAATTTATAAGAACATTTTCTTTAGTAATACAAATAAAACAAATTTAAATATTATGATAATTATAAATATATTCCCAGCAAACACAAAGTAACAGTAACGTAACATTAATATTATAATTTCCCACTCAACGATGTAACTGCAATGTAACATGCCTTGTACGTAACAGTTACATTGTTGAGTGGGACATTATAACATTAATGTTATGTAACTGTTACTATGTGTTTACTGGGTTAGTACCAGGTTTTATTGCCAACTTCTTTGCATGGATGAACATAAGATATCTTTTTGAGAAGACTTTGAATCTGATGTATGCTGTCCACTTTTCCACTGAGACAATCAATTTCTTTTTCTCCAATGAAAACCTGCAATATACATACATTTTAATATCTATTTTTAATACAGCAAGTGTACATCTTTCAACATAACAAAACAAATAAAATAATCCTCTACTAATCTCACTAATACCTACTTAACGCATACTCACTGTCCTAGGTGTAAAAAGACTTCTTTTTCTGGAAACATGTTTCCCTCCTTTGGTCTCGCATCCACGTATCCAGCATGCCATGATTTGTAAAGAAACAAAACTGACAGATAAAGTTAGGTTACGTTACTAATTGCAAATGGCGTCCAACCGTAAGAAACTATTCCCTTGAGCGGATTCCCTCCCAATTAGGCGTCAGAATCGGGACCACTTTTATATCACGGAGTTCGATCTCCTTACTCTTACTTCGTGGTCTGAACGCACCCATAGTCACAACACCTCGAGCACGAGCCTGACACAGATGAGCACGCTCACTGTGAAAAAACAGACGGCCGTGTATCGCGTGGTAGTAGTAAACTGCACATCCCCCTCTCGGTGGTTTGGTTTTGGTGCGTTTGTGGCTCTTGGACCGAAATCGGTTAGTCATCCATATACCAGTCTGTGAATGTAGATATAAAGAATAAAGAATGTTATAGTAATGTTAGATATAAAGAATAAAGAATGTTAAAGCAGAGAGAAGCCTGAGAGCGGCCATGCAATTGTAGTTTGTTATGACGGTTTCAACCGCTGGTTTTAGCCGTATTTCCACAAAAGTGGAACTCGAAGACCGTTTTCCATGAAACTCAAGTCGCAGGTCTCGTGGAACTGATCAATCACGTCGGTCGATTGGCTGATTTGACTCTGCAATTGGTCAATTCCACGAGATCTAAGACTTGCGTTTAATGTAGAACGGCCTTTGAGTTCCACTTTTGTGGAAATACAGCTAAAACCAGCGGCTGAAACCGTCGTAAGAAACTACAATGGCATGGCCGCTCTCAGGCTTCTCTCCGGTTATAGTAAAAATATGTGCTAAGAAATCTAAAAATTATGTTATCGATTGAAGAAGACCGAGAATCGATACTTTCGCGACGACGATTACTCACTGTTTGCACATCCCTCTCCCCCCATTCGTTCTGAGAATATAAAGACTTCAAACTGGCATATGCTCCTCTCGTGAAGGGGCTTTGCGCCATTTAAGCAAAGAAGAAGCAACACTGTATTGCGCATACACATATCATGTATGTAATATATCGCCATATATATAATACTTCTATATTGCTAGTCGCGTATCTTCGCAATGAGAGGCACGAGGCCCGAGAAAGAGAGACGCACGAAGTCCAAATATGGGCATAGATAGTCGAGCGTCATTATGCGCAGGCGCGTTTACTAAGCGAGTGCGAGCGAGACAAAGCATTGGAAAGTGAGACAGAAAGAACGCGAGCATGGACCTACGCGAGAAAGAGAAATGCCCAAGTGTGCTTCCCCCTGTTTCGTTATTACTGGCAGTACTGAAAATTTATAAGTTCACGTTACGTATCCTATAGATTGTTCAATACTGCCAGTAATAACGAAACAGGACCCTTGAATGTTCACCGCATGCGCACAAAGCAGCTGGACCTTGCGCGAGAGAGAGGCTACTATTGTCTGCACCGTAACGTTTAGACTTGAGATCGGCACTCTACTAGCGATATATTAGTATTACATATATGCTTTTTTCTCTTTCCCTATTCTATGACACAAACTGCGCAACACTGTATTGCGCATACACAAGTGACTTTAGTCACGTGTTGTTCTTCCTCTCCTCCCTGGGGTACGTTCCAAAATCTTACCTTGGTAACCGAAAACTATAGTACACGTGACGTAAAATATAGCATTTTAGTAATCAAGGTAGGATTTTGGAACGTACCCCTGACACGTGACTTTCCTTTAGTCACGTTTTTAAAGAAACGTGTCTAACTAAAGTCAGAGAGAAGACTGAGAGCGGCCAGGTCTATAAGAAAATGTGTAATTGCTTTTCTGCCTTTTAAGTCAGCGCAATGTTCATGAGTGGCGCACATTGGCAATTACGTAGCCATGTCCACGAACGACTTGTCGGTACGTACGTTATGTTTAAACGTGGACATGGTTCTATCATGTGCTATGTCCACAACAATTGGCTATAAATTCGGACAGAGAATATATCGTAACAGAGCCGCGGTTATATCTGCAAGACAGGAAGACGTACGGTTTGAAAACAGATACTGTCATACTCGACAAATTGACATTAAGTCTCAAATAGATCTGTTCAACGCAGGTTTTTGGTCCCAATTTAAATCAGCTCTGCTCGAAGTTTGATGTTCGACTCTTTCTTGAGAACTGGTTTTTTATATTTTTTCTGTCATATTGTTAACAGTTGTGAAACTACATTAGATCTGTGATCGATTTGACAAGTCGATCGCAAAAAGGAACAAAATCTGTTCTCGACAGACAGTTAATAAGATTCATAAAGCTAAGTGTAGAAACATTATGAATTATAGTGAATAAAATAAAATATTGTAAGTGCAACATCTTTGTAAGTGTTTTGTTAAATAAACTGTTTTTGTTTTACTAATGTGTTACAGATCTTACAATTGATACCGGAGATATAATAAAAACATTGTAACATAGGATACGATATAAAAAAAAAAAAATCATTTTATACATTTCGCGTATTTATCCTCAACAAATATACTTATTCGCGGAAGGTTTCCGGATAACGACACGGATTTACGGATCGACAACCACAAGCAGAATTCCTAACAAGTAATATCTCACTCTCTTGTACATGACAGTAATCCGATACTTGTGTGACCGATATAGTTATACAGAGAGAGATATGTGTAAAACACATGTGTTCCAGGATGTAGAACTGAATTATTATGTACACATTAGGATTTTGGAATATTCATATCAGGGCGCTTTACACGTGCGCTCACGCACAAACGCATTAGAAATTTAACTCGCGCGTAAGATTGCTATTTTTTATGCAAGGATAGAATATAAACGTAGATTTGTAAAATCCACTATTTATAAATTTAACATTTCAATTAGTCGAATTTGATCCATCGAAGATTATTATAACATGAAATTTTCTCTAATAATATAATAATAATAATAATAATATAAATATATGCATAAACTTTTGTTTGTTGCGTGAGTACGTGTGAGCATCGGTATAATGTGTAAACTCGATAAATTAGAAATCATAAATCAAACCGTAGAAAGAGGACATAATGTCCCTCTCTTCTCTCTCTCTCTGAATATAAATTACAGATTAGCGCACACGTGCGTGCGTGCGTGTGTGTATGTGTTACTTATTGTCGATTAATGTATGTATTTCCCTGTTACGGCTAATCTCGACATCAATGAGTATTGAATAATCTCTTCACAGTCCGTGCGTATCGTAACACGGAAGCTCGGTCAGTGTTTCGGCCACCCTCGCACTGGCCGTTTTGCGAGGGAGCAAACCGGTTGTTCCTGACATCCCTCTCTGTATATGGATATGTACACACACGTGCACGTATATAACTACATGTAAGCCAACACAGAGAGACAGACGCGAAAGGTGTGTGCGTGTGGATGCGCGTGCGCGTGCGCCCCCTCTTTCTCCATCCCTCTCTCGGCTTAATACCAGTGCGAGCGCGCGCTTTCGAACGATGCGTCGTGTCTGTCGCGAGGAACGATCAGTCTGTTCTTCACATTCCCCATGTAAGGACGATCGTTGTCTGCTCCGTTCAACAGATCACGCCGTAAACTTTAACCGTATATTTATCACTCGAAATGAACGCGCGACGCGTCGCGACAAAGAGCAAATAACGTGGCTGTTAAGTTGCAGTTAATCCGCGTGAACGCGAGGATTCGCGATTATGCGACTACAATTTGTTCTTACTTCTACACGAAATGAAAGTGCATTGATGTGATCGATGATTCGGCCAAGTCAAAAATACAACGCTACGTTATTTAAAAAAAATTGGGCCCGGTATTTCTGTCTTAATGTAAAAATGCATACATATGAACAGTAGTAGGGCATCGGTTTTGTTATGAATACCACCTGGTATTCAAGATCGTTTTCGTCGTCGAGATGAAACCATTCTTGATATTCACGACCATTTGTCTGCTGGTGAAAATCATCGATTGTCGAGCTGTAGAAAATGATAAATATCAACGCGATAAACGACGACGCAAGTTTTCCATCGAGGAGCTACTCACATCTAAGTTTTCGCATGCTATTACCGGAGATTTGGATATTGATATCTGCAAAGCTGGTAAGTTTCTGAAAAAAAAAGAAGAACGATATACATTTACACGCGCATACACATACACACACACAAACTGCCGTTAATTAGTGTATGGAAATCACGCGTTCTTATATCTAATGAATAAAACATCTATAATTTCATTATTAGGATTATTTTAAAATTATAAGATAATGCTCTATTTTTTAAGATACAATAATAATAACTAAATAATCAAAGAGAGCCGTGAATTAGAATAATTTTTGAATT